TCCTTTTGAAATTAAGACCTTAAAAGAAGCAGAGCTTAAATTTATAGGGCCAATAAATTGAAATTTTTCAAGCTGGTCATTGAGTATACTTCTATCTCCTGATTTCCATAACTGTGAAATCTGGCAATCATTAAAAAAAAAGCATCATATTTTGACTGCTGGTTCAAAGAATATACCACATTCTTTGGGACAGCATCACATCTTTGTCTTTGAAGGATGTTTTCGTTTATTTATTTTTGTGTGTGTGTGTTTGTTTGTTTTGAGATAGAGTCTTGCCCTGTCACCCAGGCTGGAGTGCAGTGGAACACACGTGGCTCACTGTAGCCTCGACCTCCTGGGTTAAAGTGATCCCCTTGCCCAGCCTCCCAAGTAGCTGAGACTACAGGCATGCACCACCATGCCCGACTATGCTTTTTTTATTATTTTTGTAGAGACAGGGGCCCCACTATGTTTTCCAGGCTGGTTGGGGAGTGTTTTCAGTCAGAAAGCAGTATGACTACATCTTCAGTAAGCCATTCTAATGCTCCGCAGAGTCGAGCGTTTCTGGATAATGGAGCACATGGCAAGATCAGTACATTTAATGAGTGTCAGCCCATTGACCCACTTTGTTTTCTACGGAATACGTTCATTGGTCACCAGTTGTGGTAGGCTAAACAGTGATGCCCCAATATGTCTACCTAGTAATCCCCTAAACCTGTAAATGTATTATATTATATAGCAAAATAGATTTTGCATATGCAATTAAGCTAAGAATCTTGAGATGAGAATATACTGGATTGTCCGGGTGGTCCTAATGATACAAGTGTTCTTATTTTTATTATTCTTATTTTTTTGAATCAGGGTCTTGCTCTGTCACCCAGGCTGGAGTGCAGTGGCACTATCTCGACTCACTGCAGCCTCCACCTTCTGGGCTCCAGCGATCCTCCCATCTTAGTCTCCTGAGTAGCTGAGACTACAGGCACAAGCCACCATGGCCGGCTAATTTTCATATTTTTCATAGAGATAGAGTTTCATCATGTTGCTGAGGCTGATCTTGAACTCCTGGGCTCACGCAATCTGACTGCTTTAGCCTCCCAAAGTGCTAAGATTACAGGCGTGAGCCACCGCGCCTGGTCACAAGTGTTCTTATAAGAGGCGGTTGGAGGGAGGTACCACTACGGGAGAGGAGAAGGTGACATGATGACAGAAGTAGAGGCTGGAATGATGAACTTGAAGATGGAAACAGGAGTAGCAATCCAAAGAACACAGGTGGACCACTAGAAACTGAAATAGGCAAGGTGACAGATTCTCCCCTCAACTCCAGTAGAAACCAGTACTGCTGACATTGACTTTAGTTCAATGAAATAATTTTAGACTTCTGACCTCCAGAACTGTAACTGAATAAAATAGTATTGTTTAATGCCATTAAGTGTGTGGTAATTTTTTATAGCAGCAATAGGAAACTAATAAAGCATCAATGTTCTATGGAATATGAAGATTCCAAATAACTCCTTTGCAAGAGTATCTATGAAGGCACTGTGTGCAGGAATGGGAAATCTATTTTCAAAATAACTATGTATTTTAGTGATGATAAGTTGTTCTCCTACCATTAGGAAAGGGGTCTAGTAAAATCAACGTAACACCAAGTAGCTGTCTGGTCCCCTGAAGAGAGGACTCAGCATCAACACCTGCTATGGTCAGGTGGATATTCAGCAGTGGTGGTAGCCAGGTCAGCCCTGGTGAAATCCATGTTGTTGAGCCAATGCATAGCTTTCATCCCTACTACCATGCACAATTTTAACCTGATTGAATTGAGTGACTGCTAGGGTGCCTGGGGAAAGAGATTGGCTGACATCTGCAGAGCATAGCATTGTCACACAGCATAGCATGTGATTACTGAGAACATCCTCTGCAGTGGGTACCCTTGAGTGAGTATTCACATGGATCACAAATATCCTCCTATCCTATATTCATTCTGAGAAGGTTGATATACTTTCTCCCCAGATCTCTCCTTGTTACCAAATCTTCAGTTGTGTTCTTTCCAAGTATCTGATGATCTGGCCAGCCCATTATACACACTGACCATGAAGTAGTATATATTAGTAACTTGAGCCAACTCTATCCAGAAAAAGTAGAAAAAGCAAACATACTACTAGAAGATATTCTAAAGGGGAGACTCCTTTCTTCATTTTGTAACACAAAAGCTTTTAATAGGGCTGTAATTCTGCATCGTGCATTTCTAGCCTAACTCCAGCACAATATGCAAAGCCATCTATAATCACATCTCCTTTATTTTTTTCTCTGTCAACTGAAATTAAAGAATTTCAGGTGAGGCCACAGGTGTATGCTTGAGGGAGGAGCATCAGAGCAATAGCAGTGGGTGCTGTTGGAGTCCCAACCACATGCTCACGTATCATCCACTGCTTCAGCGCATGCTTACAGTGCCATTTCTGAAACCTTTTTTTTAAAAAAATAACATGAGACCAGGCACGGAGGCTCATGCCTCTAATCCCAGCGCTTTGGGAGGCCAAGGCAGGTGGATCACCTGAGGTCAGGAGCTTGAGACCAGCCTCGCCAACATGGTGAAATCTTGTCTCTACTAAAAATACAAAAATTAGCTGGGTGTGGTGGTGGGGGCCTGTAATCTCAGCTAGTCAAGAAGCTGAGGCAGGAGAATCACTTGCACCTGGGAAGCAGAGGTTGCACTGAGCCGAGATCACCCCATTGCACTCCAGCCTGGGCAACAGGCCAAGATCACACCATTGCACTCCAGCCTGGGCAACAGAGTGAGACTCTGGTTCAAAATAAAATAAAATAAAATAAAATAAAATAAAATAAAATAAAATAAATTAAATAAGTAACATTAAACCTTTTCTAGGGAGATTAAACTTTCTAGTCATTGAACCTGGTCATATTACATCTACAATTATCCCCTACCTTCTTGCATCATCATCAGTTTCTCCCTCTTTGCCCAACATAAGTTCAAAAACATGGTTTGGAAGGTTCCAAAGCCCTCCATTGACTTCACATTTTCCTGCAGATGCAGACCCATTTCTCCACACCCTATCACAGTAGATTTCTTGAAATAGTTATCTTTACTCACTGTCTCTACTGCTTCACCTTCCATTCACTCTTTAGCTCATGCCAGTCTAGCTTTTTGGTTTGATTCTCCAAAATTGCTCTTGTCTCTGTCAATAACACTTTCCCTATGGAAACATCCCCCCAGGTCTACGTCTATTACATTCTTAAACTTCTCAGTAGCAGTTGACTCAACTGACCACCCACTCTTTAAAATATATATATAAAATATATATACACATATCATATATATTATATATATAGATTATATCTATTATATATATTATATATAAATATATAATACTATAGATATGTAATTTCACAACTTCATATTCTCTTTATTTTCCTCACATTAAACTGGCCACTCTTTTTACATCAGTGCAATGTCTTTTCCTTGTCTATAAGGCCAAGACTTTCGTCTTTACCTAAACTCACTGCAGTGATCATGTTCTTCTATGCCTTTAAATATGGTAAGGATTCCCAAATGTATATCTCTAGTTGTGTTCTCTCCCCTGAGTCTCAGACAAAAAGCCAATTAACTACTATGCATCACCACTCAAAATAACACACTTTAATAAAAATTAAATATTCATTGCCTCTCTTCTACCCTCAATTTATTCCTCAATTGGTATGATCTAGCCAAAAAGCCAGCAATAATTCTCAGTTCTTGTCTTTCTCTTAACTATCCACTACATCCAAATTAACAGTCCTACCGTTTTTATGTTCAACATACATTTTTAACCTATTCTCTCCCCTCTATCTTCACAATCATTATCCTAGTCAAAGCTATGATCTATCAGTTAAACTAACTCAACAGCCCTTTAATTGGTCTTCCTGTTCCACCTTTCTGTTATCCATTCTTCACAAAGTAGCCAGGATAATATGTAAGCATGTAGAAAGATCATATCAGTTTTCTTTTGAAAAGCTTCTATAACTTCCCATTTCATCTAGAATAAAATCAAAACCTGGTTCCACAGTCTACAAGGCTCTGCATGATAAGGCCTCCTTTACCTCTGTTCCCTCATCTCCTATTACAGTGCTACTTTCCCCGTTGTTTATCACACTCCAGCCACATGTTCTTCTTTCGGTTTCCCTTGCACATTTTTCTGCCTTAGGTCCCTTGCACTTGCATTTGTCTCTACCAGGGATTATGTCTTATGAACCTCTGCAGGGCTGGCTTCTTCCTATTTAAATTTCTGCTCAAATGCTACCCCCTCATGCATGTTCTCCCTCACCATCCCATCTAAAGTAGCTTTATCACCTTGGTTTCAGCTTCAGTTACCTATTGCCATGTAGCAATTCACCCAAAGCATTGTGATTTAAAACAACTATTTAGTCATGACTCAAGGGCCAGCTATTTGGTCAGGGCTCTGCTGGAATAGTCTCTCTTTGTTCCACATCCTGTTATCTGGATTCAACCATGCATTTGTGGTCAGTTGGAAGGAACCCTGAGGCTGGCTCTCAAAGGGCCTCATTCACCTGCCTGGAAGTTGGTGGAATCTGTCAGCTGGAGGACCTTGATTTTTCTCCACATGGCCTCTCCAGCAGGTTAGTTTGGGCTTTCTTACAAAAAGCCTGGGCTTCCAGATAATGACAGCATAAACTAAAAGACCTCTTGAGGTATTGCTTGAAAGTTGCACAATATCACCTTGGCCACAGTCTATTGGCCAAAGTAGAGGCCAATGAGACTAGCCGATATTAATGGGTGAAAAATAGACTCTACATCCTGATAAACATTGCTGCATATAATTTGTAGTGATTTCAAATCTATCCTGCCTCCTTTCCTGTGTCCTCCCATCAGTCTTTATCATATCTTCTTCTTTATTTATTATTTATTTATTTATTTCAGAGGTCTTAACATTATCTAAAGTTATCTTGTTTATGTATCTGTTTTGTTTTGATAATGAGTCCTGTGGTAATGAGTCCTGCTCCTTCCATTTCAGTGTGAGCTCCATGACAAGAAGCATCTTTTCTGACTTGGTTATTATTGAAGCTCCAGGGATTAGAAGAGCAAACAGTCCTTACTTAACATATGACAAATGGTCAAGGTATGATGGTCAACTGAATTAATGTATGAATGAATAAGTGAATTCAGAATACCTGGTTCAACAGAAGACTAGTACTTACAGTGATTTGGAATTATTTCCCTTGAATACTCTCTGGGAGCTGAATGGATAGGCTGACTAAAGATAAAAGGTAAGAAGTATTGTGAGTGATGAACAGGATTTAGTGGCCTATTTGTGTTCCAAGGAGGTTTTACAGCAAAATTGAAATGCTGCTTCATTTTCTTGTTCAAATTCTGAATAATTAATCACAGACAGCCCTAGTTATGTATTATCTTACTATCTTCCAATAACTGAGAATTAATTCATCATATGAAGCCCTATTGTAGCCTACTTTCTGTGGAAGGCCTTATGTAAAGCTGAAAAAGGTCAACTAGGAGTAGCCCCACATCATTTTAAGACAGAACCAAGAACATACATCAAAATATTTTTTCAATTAAGATTATTTTTAAATTTCTATTTTATCACTACACTATATCTGGAAATAATAGAATCTATCTCTTCTTTGCATCTAACTGAAATTTGTTATAAATTAGTCTGAAAAATAAAATTTCATTTTAATTTATGGATTTGTAGTTTTGGTGGACAGTATAGTAGTATGGATGGATTATAGTAATATATTTGGGGGACAGTATAGTAGCAAACTCAAAGTTATTCAGGAAAATGTAGGTTAATAGGCACTTACTGAGCCTCCTGAAGACAAAGACATGGATTAAACATATCTTCTACATTTAAGGAATTTTATTATAATGAGGAATAAAGATTACACAAGTGGATAATGAAAACATGAGGCATTCTGTGGTAGTGGTCTGCACACAGGGCCAGCAAGGCCATGGGAAGTCTATGGTCCATCAGTGCTAGGAGATGGTGACAGAGAAGGAAAGAGATGTAGTAAATGAACAAAAGCAAAGTGTGTTCCAAGCAACTAGAAGTAAGTCTAACCTGTGACAGGGAAAGAGCAGGGATAACCGGAGTTTAAATTAGCACCTATGCAAAAGCTGAATTCCAGCAGCTGTGTGCTATAAAAGAGCTCACATTCCAATCAGGCACAGTGGCTCACGCCTGTAATGCTAGCACTTTGGGAGACCGAGGTGGGTGGATCACCTGAGGTCAGGAGTTTGAGACCAGCCTGGCCAACATTGTTAAACCAAGTCTCCACTAAAAATACAAAAATTAGCTGGGCGTGGTGGCACACGCCTATGGTCCCAGCTATTTGGGAGGCTCAGGAAAGAGAATCACTCAACCTCGGAAAGTGGAGGTTGCAGTGAGCCAAGATCATGCCACTGTACTCCAGCCTGTGCAACAGAGCAAGACTCTGTCAAAAAAACTCACGTTCCATCCTGAAGGCCACTGGTTTCCAACTTCTTTGCATTTGAGGAACTCCCTAATGCCAAAAATTAAAATGTTTATAATTCATTAGTTAAGAAAGTGCACAAAGACAAAAATTTTAGTATTTTTTTAATGAACAAATTAATATTGCCTTTAAATTTTTTATGAATCAAATCCTCAAATATATTTGAACAATTGTTACCTATTTATAGAAGTATTTTCCTTTGTCTACAAACAATGCATAGTTCGTGTAGAGGTTAGCTGAGCTCTTGTATTATAATTCACATCCAGAGACACTGCTTAAGAAGTAGAGGAAGCAGCATGGCACAATGAAAATCACATAGTTAGGCATTCCCATCCTGCCTTTCCATTTACTTAGACTTTAGTAGTAGACAATTACTAAACCTGTTGAGGTTCAATGTCCTCATCTGCAAAATGAGAATAAAGACTTTCTTATGTGTATTTTAAAGGAAGTAAATATAAATGATCTTGTGATAAAGGGCAAGAGGGAGATTAGCAGCAAGGAGCTAAGTGTAAATTTCAGGTTATAGTTTGGGTGACTAGGTGAATGGTTGAGTCACTAATAGAGAGAAAGGGAGAGAGAGAGACAGAGAGACAGAGGTAGGCAGACACACACACGTACACACACATACACACACACACACACACACACACACACAGAGAAAGAGAATGCAGAATGAATGGCCTGGATGAAGAGAGTTCAATGGAGAGACAAGAAAAACTTAGTTGGTAGTATGAGGACAGTGGGTACCCACTCATTACTGAAGACAAACCTACTTCACCTACTTACGAGTTCTGGCATAATGAGAAGACAGACGTAAGAAGAGAGGGAACTATTTTCTAAGTTCCAAAATTGGAAGGATGAGGGAAGACAGATAATGTAAAAACAGTCCCCAATTTATTACTGTCTACATCAAATGTTCAATAAAAAACAAATTAGAACATTGAAAATATTCTTAGGTTTATTGGTATTACAAGTCTCATGTCATTATAAGAAGCAAATAAATGGGTTCAATTTGAAGTTCCATTCTCTAATCAACATCTACCAACAGTTACAGAGGTTAAGTCAAGTTATTCTACCAACTACTATAATGTCTTCTTCTATATGCTACCTACTTGTCTTTTTTCTCTCTTCTCTTTTCTTTCAACAACTGAGGCAAAGACACATGAATTATTCATCACAGACAAATGAAAGTGAGAGGTGTTGAAAGGAGAGTACTAGATTTCTTGAGACACATTCAATTTAAGGAATGAACTGGGGAAACTATTATGTTGGTGCCTAATGATGACATTATAATAATTAACATCCTTTATTTCACATGCAAGTATCCAAAAAAAGGTTCCAGTTGATCTTCTCGTCCATAAATGTCTAAGGAGTAACTCTATGAACAGATTATCCCTGGCAAATTGAAGTATAGAATTGAGGCCGATGGGGTTCAGGACGTGCTACCTGAAAATATGGCACGTTGACATTTGAGAAAACCTTGGAAACAGGAAGGTCTCTCTTACCTTCTCGTCTCTCTTCTCCCCTGAAGAAGGTCATTAAAACCTCACTGGAGAGATGCCCTGTACATACCCAGAGAAAGCAAACATTCTTATATCTGAAGACACAGACACAGATAAGAATCTGAATAAACAGGCCTTGCTAAATTCCCCACAGCTTATTGCCATTAAATCAGACCTCCATTATCCAATCATACTTCTCACTGACTGATCACCTTTTCATCAAACCTAAGATTAAAAAACACAAGTTTACCTGTTTCTTTGGGTCTTCATTTCTTTATGAAAGTTCCCTTGTCACAAAAAACTTGCATTAAATAAACTCGTATGCTTTTTTTATTCTTGTTAGTTTGTCTTTTGTTATAGGTGCCACAGCCAAGAACCTTGAAACAGGTAAAGAAAGCAATTTTTTCCTCCCCTACAAGGTGTATATCCTTGCAACATAGACACTTGCTTTTGAATGCATTGTTTGCTGCTACAGACTATTTTTAATCCTGTGGCATCTGTAAAATTCAGCACAAAATATTGAGAGCTCTTTTCAACTAAATAGTTTATAGTTTTATCTTGATCTGTTTTGGATTGAGATATTACCTATTTGGAGATTTTTCTTGAACCAATAGGTAGTAACTTCTTTGTATCTGTAGTCATGGAAACAGAGCTTGACTTTAAAAACTATTAGGATAGAAAGCATAAAAATGTGGCTATTGATTCAGAGAAATGCTTGGATTTTTTCTTTTCTTCCTTGCTTTTCCTGTTTTTTTTTTTTTAATTTTTCTTTTTCTTTTCTTTCTCCTGCTATCCTTCTCTCCCTCTCTCTGTTCATCCTTTTCCTTTGCTTACTTCTTTATGCAGTTGATACCATACCTCTTTATCTAAGAACATTAAAAGTACACTTTTTTCCTTTTATTCTTTCACCTTAAAATGGAGATATTAGCAAATAGCGCCAGAAAACCAAAGTATGATGACATGGGAAAAAATGGATCTCAAATGTATATACATATATTTGAAAGAATAGTATACTACATATAAAGAAATGAACTCAAAACAGTTAATAGACCTAAAGATAAAACTATAGGTCACGCAGTGGCTCATGCCTATAATCCCAACACTTTGGGAGGCCAAGGTGGGTGGATCATAAGGTTGAGAGATTGAGACCATCCTGGTCAATATGATGAAACCCTGTCTCTACTAAAAACAGAAAAATTAGCCAGGTATGGTGGCCGGCGCCTGTAGCACCAGCTACTTGGGAGGCTGAGGCAGGAGAATTGCTTGAACCCAGGAGGTGGAGGTTGCAGTGAGCCAAGATTGCACCACTGAACTCCAGCCTGGTGACAGAGTTAGACTCTGTCAAAAATATATATATATACACACACACACAATATATATAAAATATTAATTATATATTTTATATATAAAACTATAAAATTTCTAATAAGAAACAAAAACCAAAATCATGTGATCTTGGAATAGGCAATTTTTAATTTTTCATTTTTAACTTAGATTCAGGGGTTCATGTGCAGATTTATTACAAGGAAAACTATATGAAACATATAAGAAAAACAGATAAAATGAACTCCATTTTATTAAAATTTTTTGCTCTCTGAAAAACACCACTAACACAATAACAAACAAAATGACATACTGGGAGAAAATCAAGAACACTCACAACTTAATTATACGACAAATAAGTCAATTTAAAAATAGGCAAAAGACTTTAATACTTTACTGAAGAAATGCACAAAATGATTGTCAACATCATTAGTCATTAGAGAAATAAAAATTAAAACTACAATGAAATATCACTATAGATATTTGCTAAAATAGCTAAAGTTTAAAAGATTGACAATATCAAGTGTTGGTTGGGATGTGGAGCAACTAGAACTCCCATACATTGCTATGGCAATACAAAATAATGCTACCACTTTGGAAAACAGTTGGCAGGATTTTTTTTATCAAGTTAAAAATACACTTACAGTATGCTCCAGCAATTGTACTTTTATTTACTTAACTATGATTAATAAAATATATGTCCACACAAATATTTGTATGTGAATAATCATAGCAACTTTAATCACAGCAATTGAAAAATGTTAAAATAAAAAGTTGGAAACAACCCAATTACCCAACAAGAGATG